GACATCTATTATATTATTGTAGCGGAATGGAAGATTTCATTGCTTTTACAAATATTTTTTCATTAAGCTTAGTACATATTTAATTTCTCATACATATGATTTCCTATCGATCATATGACATTGTACTTGAACTTATCAGATACTCATTATAAGATTCTCGTTTACGAAAGTCTTATCACTATGTGAAACATATACAGTTTATAATAAAACTATAATATGAATATCAGAAGCAGTTCAACTAAGTTATCTAGCGAGATATGAACAATGGCTATTGACTAATACTTTCTAAGTTGAATATATATATCGACTCTATGAGTGACAACGACTAGAAAATGTCTTGAAGCGAAATGGCAGAAAAAAACTTATTAATCTTATATAAAAACAAACTTAGACAAGTCGAATGAAAAGAAATATATTTTATTTCTTAACAGGTTATTCTATCGATCGACCAATGGTTTTGAAGTCTAACTAGCTTGACTGTACTCTAAACACTTATATTGAACAGCTGTGTATTATGATATAAATTTTGATTTGTTTAGATTCTTTAATTCCTTGAAAATGTTAATATTTATTTCTATTAAATTGCACAAGATCTTCACAAAATTAGAGATCCACGAAACGATTTCATACTACTTCATACCATTGCTCATGTTTGCATGCACAAATCAATCATTATCAAACAAAGACAAAAATCTTTTGTATTAAATATTCATTGATGATAATCGTGAATAATTATCATCAAAAAAATTACAGACATCAATACTAATGAACATTAACATTCTCTTGAAACTAGTGAAAACATATATCTCAAAATTAGATTTATAGGAAAATGAACAACATTTATATTATGAATAATAATAAACAACATTCTCAAGAAACAAAATTAATTGAAAATTTTCATGTCAAATAAAGAAAAATATAAGAGCTTGAAACACTATTCAAATAAATCACATTTTCTCGATGTAATTGATCCAACTAAATAAATAAAGTAATGATCGACGATTGACAACAACAAACTACATGCTAAACATGTTCTGTGAACTTCTCAATCTATTACAATAGATGAACTTGATTATTCGTTGATTAGATACAATTAATTTATCACTAATAAAATCAGCTTCAAAAAGATTAGATAATACTGATAGGTTAGTACTAGACAAACATCTATCCTTCATTTGTATCAAACATATTAAGACAACTATCAAGGATATCAAGCAAACTGATACCTGCCGTTTAAGATCATATTAGAACAACATGGGCGCCTTAGTGAGACTAGCAAAAGTCTAAAAGGAATACGTTGTCATAAGTGTTTCCGACTAAGTTATGATTGTCTTATTGAATTTTCTAGCCATTTACTGCAAAACTAAAAACAAATGAAACTTTGATAGTTTCAACCAATAAGGATGTTATCGTATAGGATATTGAATTCATTGTTTTTAATTAAGTCTTTGAAGAATATTCTATGGATCATTAAATGTAACCATGGGCAATATTTTAGATCGAAATTCCATTTTTTTTAATTTTCCGTTATATACCTGGAAAAAAAAGAGTTCAAAATTTAGTAAGAAAGATCATAACTCAGCTTCAAAAGTCTATATTGATGGAATCATTAAGACTTTTGCTAGTCTCATCAAGATGCTATGCTAGATTCAACATAAGTTCAAACACCGAGTGTAATTTCGAATAATTCTCTCGTAAGAAAAGAACTTAAATCAAAGAATGTATCTACAACTCCAGTTAAATATTTGTTTGAAAAGATTACGACAACGAAGAAAGAAAATGAATCTAATCAAGTATTATTATCGAATAGATATTGAAAAACAAAATCAAGGATTTACTAGTTGCATGCATACTTTTGTATAACAAAAAAAAATTGTTCGTGTTTTATGATATTGAATAATTGAAATTGTTTTTTATCGTTTATGAATTTTAATTTTCTTCAAATCGAACGACATTAAAAAACTTGTCATATTTATAGTTCAATAAATAATACGTGTATTAGTAATTATACATTCACTGGAACTTAATAATAATAATAAAAACAAGGTTTATTATCTGGCAAGATATTTACTCTGATGGTTTCCATGCCATTAACTCAAAATCTGTAATATTTTGTAGCAAAAACATTTCGAAAAAAAAACATCTATCTTCATAAACAACATTAGTTTTCAAAATAGAAACATTCTCTTCAGCATAATCTCTCATCGAATCAATTCTATGTATCTATTTTTTCCTTATATCTCAATGTTGTTCGAGTAGAAACGTGTACATATAATTTTTCCCACTCCTCCTCGTTTTCATCCTCTTCTTTTTGTTATTCTCATAATAACAAATCAAGTCCGACAAATTCGCTATTGTGTACGGAAATATTCTTTTCCACACGAGAGACAATATCGTCATTGATATAACGTTATCCAAGGCTGTCGAGCGCGAAAAGAGCAAGAAACAGCAGTTAACAATATATTACCAAGGTTTTTCTGTTTTTGTACATATGATAATAATGACAACAACAAGAATAATACGTACAAAAGAGTAAATAAAAATAAAAATAAATATATTTGTGGATTTTTTTACGTAAGAAAATACATACACAAAGACTTATGATCTAAATTAATTATTCAATAAAAGAAAAAAAAATTTTTTTGCAGAAAATTTCTAATCATATCTCATAATATAAATTATTTTTTCTTTTTTCTTTCTTTAGTCTCCACTAGTTTTTTTCTTTCCTTATTGATTATCTATAATCCCGCGTCGTTGAATATGATTATCACTAACGCTAGTCTTAATACTGCAAAAGGAGAAAAAAATATAGTACAGCAACAGACAAGAAACGATTGGATAACATATCGACAGAAATAACCTCTTTTTTCTTATGTCCTCTTCCTCTTTTTGCCTTGTTTGATACCAAAATCATCGGAATAGCTAAACGGATTGATATCTTCTACATTTTTTTTCTCTGTTCTGTTTCTACTACTATAACAAACTACTACTGCCGTTGTTGTATTCGTCGTTCTTTTTTGCATTCTAACATCTTACAAACACATTAAGAACAATCCATCCTAAACCATAGCAGCAATGGCCGATTTGCCCAGTGATAAAGTTGATGAAGCTAAACAAGTCTTTGAAGTATTCGATAAGAAATATGAGGTAAAGATTTTATTTTATTTTATTTTATGAAATATTACATATAATTTTTCTCATATTCTTTATAATACAAAAAGGGTAAAGTTGATGCACATTATATCGGAGATATGCTTCGTTCGCTTGGTCTTTACCCAACACAAGCTGAATGTGAAAAACGTGGTCAAACAAAAAAAACAGGAGAAAAATCAATAAAAGTTGAAGAATTCTTACCTATTTACTCAGAATTTTATAAAATGCCGGCTAAAAATTTTGGTACATATGAAGATTTTATGGAAGGTTTAAAATTATTCGATAAAGAAAGCAATGGTTTAATGTCATTGGCTGAACTTACACAAGTCCTTGTTGCTATGGCTGAAAAACTTGATCCACGTGCTGTTGAAGAAATTCTTCGTTCAACAAATACAAAAGATGATGCCGAAGGCATGTTTAATTATGAAGTTTTTGTTCGTGCTCTTCTTCAAGGTCCGTTTCCCAATGAATCGACTTGATAGCATCGAAGATTAAGACTTCAAGGACATTAAAAAATTAGAAAAGAATATCAATTTTGTCACTTGTCTTGTTTTTCCTGCCTTCTTTTTTTGCTTTTTTTTTTTCTTCTGTCTTTTTTTATACATGTCTATTCCTTTTTATCATCATTTCCCTTTTTTTTATACACACATGCACACAAACATGTTCTCTTCATTACAATGCACAGCAAGAAGAAGATTATGAACCGTCATTATTATCACTTCCTCTTTTATTTGAATCTTATTATTATATTTGGTTCTGTGCGTGTATTTTATACCGTTCTATTTTTTTTTTGTGTCGTAGCAAATACTTTGCTGCTAACTACTTCTTGAGAATATATTAGATTAAGGCTATAAAAACTATCCATCAGTATTAGCAAGAAGAAATAATCCTTCCTTCTGAAAGTTTTTTCTTTTTTTCTTAAATATAAATCTTCATCTTTTAATCAATTTTTTTTTAAAAGTATGACATCTATGGCAAACAAAAACTGAATTCTCCAAAAATTTTTCTCAAGCAGTTAAGTGAAAACAATGATAATTTGATCTCTAAATGACAAATAATTGAAAATATCTAGTTGTTATTATTTACACGATGAGATTTATTACATAAGATATCGATCAAATCCGTTAAGACTCATATATGATATTGATTCAAAAATGAACAACCTTAGATTAATATCATTGCGTTAATATAAATATAGCCTCTAAAACAAATTAATTATCAAGCAAACAAATTTATAGATATTAGTAGATGAAAAGTAATATTCAAAGTTGTCAATGACATTAACTAATGCGTGAATGTCAACAATGAGAAAATTAAATATATATGTTTCTTTAAATTATTCACTGTAGAAAGTCATGTATTGTTTTTTTGTTATCTTATACCATATCAATTGTTTCTGAATTCTCCAATGACGTAATAAATGATATACAATAATCTATCTTAGTCAAAACTAACATACCGTTATTAATGATTCATTCCTATTCACTAAATTTCCTTTATATTTTTAGATAAATAATGATTGACTAATCCATATGATATAGTATACTATCTATCACGAATATAAAAAAAAAATAATTTTAAGGTATTCAAATACAAGGTCCATATTATATCAACAAATTTTCAAGGCTTTTTTTTACAAATTACAGTATACCAAAAGTGTCTATGTATGTAAGCAATGGCTGAATGACTTGAATACGTAAGGATCGAAAAAAAAAAACGACTATGCAAGCACATGCAAGGCTTCAAAGGTGAAGTGTACGCCATCAATGCAAAAGAAAGAACACACCATTCACATCAAAGGTGTATTCTTCACCGAGAAAAAAAGAAGCAAAAAGAAATAAGAATATATGTTAAATCAAACTACAATGAATAGTAATCATGATCATGATCATCATCAAAATATTATCATAGGTGACATAGTTCTTCATTCTGAATTAAAACCAACAATTATTCCAGTAGTTACTCATTCAATTCCATCAACAAAATCTCCTTCAACAGTTGATAAACCAGTTATTCGTCGATTATCTCCGAATTCTTCTGGAACATCTGCTTCACAAACAATTGTTTCATGTGATTTAAAAAATAGTCTACCTGTTAAAGGTACTCAGGAACAAATAAAAACATCATCATTACCAAAAAAAAAATTAATGAGTATGCATAAAGCTGGTGTGGCATTTGTAAAAGAATGGAAATCAAAAGTTAAGAATCCAACTCATCCTGAACTAAAATCATTCACTACTAGTACAAATATAGAAAATGAACAAACTTATTTTTAATTTATTATTGTCGTTTTTACTTTTATATATTTAGGTGAAAAGAAACGAAAGTTGGAAAGTTAAAAAAAAAACAAACACATATTTACATCAATGAAAAAAAAAGGAAGAAACAAGGTTTTTTATTGACAAAAGAAATGATTAATACAAGATAAAATATCATTGTGCATTTGAAACAAGAAAGTGGCTTATTCATACCGCTTCAATCATAACACCAATGACGTTAGAAAAATATAAAAATCCATGTTGTACGTTTGTTCGTCCTACCGCCGACATACCGAAGTCAAATGGTAATCATAGAATAGCCAAACTTTTACGATTCAAATCAACGTCGGTTGATTGTCAGTAAACCGGCGATGTTTTCATCATCATCAACGAATACTAGCGGTATTACGCACGTTCTATCAAACGATTTATCACTAGTTTTTTGTTTAGTTTGAATCACATAGAAATTTATATAGATTAACAAGTTTCATGCATACAGAGATAAAAGAAATAATACATATCATACTATAATTTAAAACTATTGTCTTAGAAAATTTACTATTCCAATTGAGAATCGATTTCTTACAAAAAAAATCGTGCAAACACTGCCATACAGCTTAGAAAATCATTCCCAAAGAATATCCAGGTAAAAATTGCATTTTTGATCCATCTTCCTGTTCAGTTTCATGGATCTCCTCCTGGACGTTCAGCAGAACATGTCTAATCCAAGTTTTTCAGACCCGAACCTGATTGAGTTATAATTCGATTCTCTCAACAAAATTTTTTTGATTGGCATCGGTTAATCGTGCCGAAGTTACAAAATACTTGTCTCTGGATATTTGTATTTGATGATTTGTTCATCTCCACATTTTTCTAACGACTGTAGCCCATCAGGTTGAAAACTTTCGATTCCGAGACCGACTCGACAAGCTCTAACGTCTCATGGAAAAGATACTTTCAGAAAAAAGCCTATTTGTTCAAATATACTGCTGCCTTTTATTAAATAACATTTCATTAAATAAATAAAAATGAAAACACACATTTCATAAACAATAAGCAAAAATGGAACCTATTGCAAAGCTTTTGTTTTTTATATACATTTGATTTGAATGACCAGAAAATAGTAAAATATAAAAAAAACTAAAGTTCTATACAAATGGCACACGAAAATTTCATACAGCTGCTCTAGAAAATGGCAGCTGACTCTTATAGCATAATCTTGGATTATTTCAACATCGTATTCATATTCAGGCGATCGATTCAGTTGATTTCCTATTTAGAAATGCCCTTTAAAACAGACTAACCTTGAAAATTTTCTCGAAAATCGTCTGGACGTTCAGAAATGTTTGATTTATCCCATGAGCCGCACATATTTTATAGATGATATCTTGAACGAGCTCATAAAATGATAGTGTCTTTTAGAAATCTAGATGTTTCTTAGTTTCCACTGAGAAAAAGAAGTTTACTAATCCTTTTTTTGCTACAAAGAAAAATTGTTACTGAAATTCCTATCGCATTGAAATGTGAAAACGCGATGTAGCTGTTCGTGCTAATCACAAAGAGATTATATTTAATCTATCTATTTTGAAATACGTTTCTTTATCATCCTTTTATTTAATTCTCCAGTAATACAATATGGAAGTAGTTCAAATATTGTAACGAGACATTATTGATATGTGATATGTCCTCGTATGTCAACAACATCTATTATAGTCTGTGGAGAGTGGAGTCCAAATTTTCACCTCTATACTTCAACGCGCCTTTTAGATTGTCTTTCATAAAACCAGCTTAACTTAATTTTCTGAATACATTAAATGCTCAGTATAATTTGCTCAGTATTGTATATAAATTATTAGTAAATAAATCAAACTATCAGTATAAAATTTAGTGTGCAGTAACTATTATGTTTGTTCAGTTAAATAATTGTTTGCTCAATCGATTAATAATTCGTTCAATGTTAAAATTTGAATATCAGTAACGAATACAGTCAGCTCAATTAAAAATTTATTTACTCATTAAATGATTAATACTTATATCAGTAGTCATTTTCTTTTTATAAAAACATTTTAGTGTAAATAAAGTACTGTTTCTCCATGTTGACTCATGATGACATATTAGTCAAAATGAATTACGTAGAATAGAATATTCATATATACCTTTTCTTTTTTTTGCTTCATTCTAAGGTATTTTCCAAACGTTCTCTTTTGTTGATATAATTAAGATATTTTTTTTCCTCTCATCATGTTTTCTTCCAAGTGTCAATGAATTTTTCCTAGTTCGTTCAGAATACTCATAGTTGTCGTTTGAGAAATACAAGACATGCTTTAGTGTTGTCTGTGTAATAGTCTAGTATTTTTCAAAAAGTCTACGTGTAAATACATGATGTCTATATGGCAACTAGATTAAAAACTGCTGCACCGTCACTTGCTGCTAAATATATTAAAACCGGTGAAAAAAGACATTGCAGTAGACCACCAAAATCTATAAAAGCATCACTAATGCACTAAAGGTCTGTTAATAGTAATTATACTATTTTTACTGATGTAAATAAATAAAAAAAAGTGTACAAAAATAAATAAAATACTGATTAGTTTTTAATTAGTTACAGAACTTTTCATATTATTTACTATGCTAAAAATAATTTTTTACTTAACATAAACTACTGAGCAATAAAATACAAACCTTTAATTTTATTATACGCTTAGTAATACAATAAACAACAACAATATTCCATAAAATAATAAGAAAGATTGATGGATGACTATGATCCGTATTCCAATCGATTGAGCTGTAAGAAAAGCATTAGCAATAGCTATAACTTTTGTTATTGATGTATTACTATTACAATTTGGTTTATTACATACAAGTACAAGACTAGATACTTGAGCAGTAAATTTTGGATTATTAGGATAAGCTAAACCTAATGACATATTGATACCTAATGCATCAGATGACAATGTTTCATTGCAACTTTTAGTCATTGTATGTAAACCTAATGTTAATGTACAATAACCTGAACATAAACTTGTCGTTTCATTTAATATATCATTCATACATTCGATTTTTGTACCATAAGATATTGATGGATCATAGAATATTGGTTGAATACGTTTTAAAATATGCTGATTTGCTTTATACACTGGATAAATTGTTTCGATTTCTAAATAATAAATAACTATCAATAGTTTTAATTGAGAAAATTTACCGAGATAGGCACACTAGAAAAAAAACAATGTAAAACAAAAAAGAAAACTAATAAATTCATCGAACTTACATCATCAATTTGTGTTCGACAAACTATTCATAATAAATTATTATCTATTGAAATAAAAGTAATAAACTTACAATAATTAATATTAAGTCGATGAGGATTTGTTTTTGAAAATTTCATTGTTAATTGTCGAAATCGTATGGCTGTTATATCAGTTTTAATATAAGATAAATAATTCATAACTAAATCAGCTCGTATTAATGAAGAATTTTCGTTAACAATATCAATGGCATCAGCAGTTGTAAAACTATATGATACTAATTGTGTATTAAAATCCATACTTAAATAAGCTTCACATATTTTAAAATGACCTTTTACACATCCAGAAATTTTCTTAAAATTATCTAACATAGTTTGATTTTGTGTACAATTAATTTGACATATTTGTGTTCGATTTACTAATGAATCAGGTAACATTTCATATAATTGCATATATTTCGGACACAATATGAATAATAATAATAATAATAATAATAATAACATGATAGACAAATATAAGAGAACAATTATCTGATGAAATTAGATCGAATAAATCTTCTTCGTATATACGATTGGCGCATAATAATTAGTACGAAGATTCAACTCTTACTTAATTAAATCTATCTCAGAAAAACCATGAAAGATTGTCTATGAATATAATAAAAAAGAAAAAGTAAATCTAAATATTTTTCGTTTGATATTATGAACAATATTTCATGTGTATTATTTATCTTTTCAAATAACAAACTTCGGATAATTACGTATCTGTGTTGCATGTTTGTTCGAACGGATTTTATTTTTAATCATATAATCAAACATACGTGGTCATATTTCATTAAACTAATATTTAATACCATCTAACAATCTTTTATTTTGTTTCTCATCGAACTATTTTATTTTAATAATATTTTCTTTTCGAATAGATTTTAACTTTATTAAGTCGAATTATACAAGGAATTCCAACAGCTTTCGGAAAAAAAAGTAAAAAAATAACTCAAGTGATATTCATGTGCTTTCAATTATTTTATTTCAGATTTTTTAGAAAGTTTTATCTCGTATAATTTTATTTGCATCCACGTCTCAAAATTAACACACTAAACTGAAACACACCATTTATTGTTTACACATATGAGAGAAAGACATTGCCTAGAATTTCTACGAAACTATTTTGTTTTCGTTAACAATTTTTAATATTAAGTTTCAACGTGATCTTTAGTAAATATCGTTTTTCATGCATTCTTATAGAAAAACTTCGCATCATATTAAGTGACGCGTACAGCAAGCTTATCCAATAAAAACATTCTTTCGAATCCTGCAATATAAAAAAAATTCTACTCAGAAATTAATGTACAGTTATTGAACTCTGTCATTATTTAGTACGTTATTGAACAAACTTTGCAAATAACCAGAATATTTGATACCTGAAAAATGTTTAGAATGCGTCTAATCTGCTACAATATCACTTTGATCAAAAGTATTCAAACACCTTTTTTAATATCATTTTTTTATTAACATTTTTTTGTCAGACTTTACTAATTGCTTTCATTTCATGATTGCAAATCATTCAAATTTTACCATTAAGAGAACAATTTGTATTGTAATATTTATAAGTACAATTATTTTTTCTGCAATCTGATGAATAAAACTTTAATGATAAGTATGAAATCGAATGATGAAAAAAACTTGTATTTTGAATGAACTGTTGAAGAATTATTCAAGTTTTGTTCTCCAGAAGACTTTCAAAACTTCTAGTATAATGATATTTATA